TGAAAATTACTTTGACAGCTTTATCTTCCATGGATCTGACATGTCTGTGCATGACAAAGTGGTCTTAGAAGCTGGTGGCTTGCAACTTATAAACCCAAGTGTAATTTCTGGCAAACAAGCCTGCTGTCCTGTTTCAGGGGAAGGTCTTCTTCCTGATGAATCACGTGTACAGGCGATTCTAAATGCTTCTCCTGCAGATAAAGCCGTTGCTCCAGCTCCTGTTGATGGGGAGTTTGTCGCTTTTCTTTCTACTGCCTGTAATTCTCTTTCTGCTGCTGATGTTGATTCATGTGCTTCTTGTCCTGGCTTAATTAAACTTTGTACACAGATTTCCAATGGTTAGCCTCCTACACTCAAGGGGCTGGACGCTGAGTTATTGCGGTACTAATAAACTCTGTTTGGAACTGTCTATTAAGGACAGCTCCATCTTCCGAGGCTCACGGCTTATTGTACCTGCTGCTCTTCGATCTGTGCTGGTGTCCTTAAGGCACGAAGAACGTCAGAGAGAGGTGAGGACCAAATAACGGCTTTGCGATCTCTATTAATGGCCAGAGATGGATGCTCAGGTTCTTGGTGCTTTATATTCTTACTCCTAAAACCGGTCTAAAACGGGCAAGTCACATCCTTCTCCTCTCCAGTCAGTGCCGCTACCAGATGAACCATGGCAGAAAGTGGCTGTAGAGTTGGTATTTATCCAACTACAGGTTTGCTATAACCTCAACTGAATATTACAGCAAATGGCATGAGGTCTCCTTTACTCACACTGTCACTTGGGATTCTGTGGTTTTGTTTCTGTCATCCATCTTCAGCCACCATGGAAATCCATTGAGTATTTTTGGTGACAACTGTTTTCAGTTTACATCTACTGCTTTTGCTACTTTTCTGGAAGGAAGGAATATTCGTCACCATCGTTCCTCTCTCTACTCCCTGGCAGCTAATAGTGCTGTAGAGAGGTTCAACTGTGTGCTCAAACACACCATCCAAATCAGCCATGGAAACCTGTGGTAACTGACTTCTTGTAGGTGTACTGTGCCACTCCACAATCTTCAACTGGTACTTCACCCTTTCAGCCCTTCTATGGCAGGCAAATGCACCCGTCAACTGGCATGACTGTTCGCCGAAGGTTTACTCAGCTGCAACAAATGAAAATGCACACTGATGCTAAGCGAGGTGCTCTCACTCCTTGTTTCCAGTAGGGGGATGTACTGGGGGTACGGACCCCCTTGCACGTTCCTAAGGAGCACAGAAAGTTTCTTAGTGATGGAAAGACATGGAATGCTTCCCATCTCACTGCATTTCCATGCATACTAACAATTTTGCCTGAAAACACTGCTCACCATACATGCACTCATACCACCTAAACATGATGTTCGAAAGCAGTTGGTAAGTTATGTAACTTAAATCTGATGTACGGATGTGTTTGCATTGTTGATGCATAAGTAAATAATAAAGAAAATGTGTTTATAAATAAATTATATTGTGGACTACTACTTTAAAAAGCACGGCTGAACTGTTGTGTATTGTGTAATAATTTGTGAGAATGGAAGTGAAATAGTAAAACAAGATGAAATATAGCTGCGAGCATCGATTGCGGGCCCAAGCCGGTGGCACCGCAACCCTGGTGCCTTTAGTTACTTATTTTACTTTCATGACGTAAAATCACTAAAAGCCTTCTTTCCGCTTGAAAAAAAATAGTCCCTGACCATGAACAGCAACAACGTTCCAATGTGTAATATGCATGAAAGCTCAAATAAAAACAAATAGGAACCGCAGTGTTGCGGAGTGATAAATAGAACCATTGGGTGAAAGCATCATAGCCATGTTTTATCATGAATAAAGCACAGCTATTGACCAATCAATCAGAATCAAGGATTGGAACTAACTGTATTATAATGCTGCTTACCAACTCCTGACAGACTCCACTGTATAAAGTGATCTAAACTAGATAGCAAATCTCACCTGCCTCATTTTGTTTTTTTGTCGCTAAATATTATCGCCCAACTCTTTATATAAAGTTGGATGTATAAGTATGCAATATATACAGTAGGCAGGGGCGAAAATTTCATCAAAATGTTGGGGGGGACAATAAACATAACAATTCTCAAGAGCAAATTTTGAAGGGGACACCAATAATACAGGCAAAAAAAATACAGAGGAAAGCCTGTAGAAAGCATGGAGACCATTTCATTATACTTCTTAAAATTTCTTTCTGGTTTAAGCCAGCGGCGAATCTGTTTACATACTCTCCTCACGCAGCGCAGCGATTTTATTTCATTCATTGACTCATTCTTTAACTATATTAAATGATATAAACCAACTAAATCACAGTGAAAGCGTTAGAATCTAAATGCACAGCGCACCCGGACTTTCTCATCAGTGTATGGCCAGCAATATTGTAATGTTTAATGACATGAAGATAGTGTCTGTTATTATTGTACTGTACAATTAAATACAATCGTTGCTGAGTCTGCGGTCTGAAAACTTTACCTCAGATCACCCGTTAACTGAATGAATTGAGAATCTCACCTAAAAAGTCCAATAACATCAGCAATTTTCATTCAAGCAGCTGATTTCTGTAAATAAATGCAAAACTAAATGTATATTGCAGCATAGGGCGAAGTCAGGATCCGTCAGCACCGATTTGAGACAAAAATAATTTAAATTGTATATAAAACTACGTAAATGGCGCTCTGTGGCGCAGCAGGGTTTTGAACACGGTCCTGAGCCGTTGCTGGGCGCCGCGGACAGACGCCGAACGGCGCCGCCGGTGTGTGTACACTCATAGAGAATAATGTGTTCGAATTTTAAAGACGATGCGCTGCGCGACGCGCCGCTACGCTTCTCGTCCGGTGTGCGACCTACTTTACTGGAGTTCCACAACTATTCAAACACTATGTTTTTCTCTCCCGCCACCGGAATGTGCGTGTCTGAGGTAAAAGGGACGGAGGCAGTGGACCAACGCACTGTGAGGCAAGGGAGGGGGGTCTCAAAATGTTTAGAACGCTTTTTTCGTAATTGCCCCGTTTGCATTTGTGTTATTTTATTTCTTAATTATTTTAAGAATATATCATTACATTATTTACAATACACATATTTTAATGGTTTTTTTCGGGGGGACAACCCTCAGATAGGGGGGGTCCTGACCCCCCCGACCCCCCGCGATTTCCGCCTATGACAGTAGGCTACACCTGCGCAAGGTGGTATGCTATTTAACATATCTAATCTGCTTAATTGTTTGTATTGAAAAGATTGTATTGTCACTAAATGTAAACTATATAATCTGTTAAATGTGACCATAAGGTATGAAGATATTATAAATAGTAATATTATGATTTTCTGTTAAGCTGCCTTGACACAATGTATATTGTAAAAAGCACTATACAAATAAATTTGACTTGACTTGACATAATTGGGTTATAAACAGCACATTAACAAGTCATTTTATAAAATCTGTTTCAAAAAATAACAATAATATGTGTATATGTGTGTGTTAAAGAGTAACAGTTATATGGGTTTTAAATGGTTATATGGTCTCTAGGGTGTTTCTAGGCAGAGTCCTTAACATGGCTGGATTTTTCAGTGCAAGTCCAGGAGATCGTATCCACAAAAAAATATAATTTTTCAAACTACTTACAAAATTAATTAACAGGATTTGTGTAATATTATTGATGTCCATGACATCATAAATATAAGGATAAGTTCACATTTTTTGTCTGTTAGTCTCCAAAGGTGAAAAAGAAAAACCCCATTTGTGATTTGAAATGCTGTCACTTTATAAATGATAAATGTTTGCTTGTGAAAGTGGATTATGAGCATCTGTTTGTTTAAGACAGTCTGGTGACTTAGAGGGTCATAAACCTCAATGTTTGATGTGTGTGAGTGAATGACACACCTCAGCTGTTACCCAACACCTACTGTTCTCCTTCCACATGCTGTAGACCCAAAGTCCACAAAGTCACACCACTGGCTTATGTTTATTTTTATTCAAATGCTTCCCTCTACAATCGCAACGGTTTCCATAGGTCATGCATGTGTTATGTGGGTTGATCTGAGCTTCTAGACTGCCTGACATACAAGTTTGCTGTGAAACTGGGCTGTGTGAAACTCTTCCATCATAAAATTTTAATAAGGGGTAACACTATATGCCTCAGAGTTACACAACATTGCTCCAGGGTAACCTCTTAATAATTCCACAACCTTATATTAGACTTAAGCCACAATCTTGGAGGCCTATAATATGGCACATACTGAAACATATCATTCAGTCGGTAATGGAGGTAGAATGTGCAGAAAGACCAACAATAGATTTCTACATATTGGACCAAACATAGAGGGCATAATATGTTATTTTATTGGTACACAATTTTGTTATTATCTCTTGGACCATATGGCACTGAAGGATAGTACACCCAATTAAAATTGTCGTCTTGTAGAATGTCCAAGCTGCTCTTTTCCATTCAATGAAATAGTGTCTGCTCTCAAGCTCCAAAAAGGGAAATCTTCAGTGAATAAATGACTTAAAGTTTAATCTTATGCCCACACAGCAGCAGTTTTTGAATAATTGGTATATATACTGCAATGGATTTCATGGGCTGCTTTTGTCTTTTTTTAATGGTTAATGAAATCCATATCTATATGGCATTATTGTGTGGAAAGGAGCAGCATGCACATTTTACTAGAATATGGCTCCCTAAAGCTCAGCATAGGTCTACATATTTCAAGCAATACCGGGTTTAATAAATTACCATTTTCAGTTTTTTAAAAATTTGTATTAACTATTTTAAATAGTTTATGGCAGACATTCTTAAAAAATAAATAAAAAATCATTACAATAATACTTTATGAATATGTATGTATAATGAGACTGTATCTTAAAATAATGTTTTTATCCTGTCACTTAGGAGTAGTAGGCTATAGCCTAAATACATTGTGATATAATCTGTGATGAGTAGGGCACACACATTGGGCTTAGTGTTGCGCAGTCGCAGTGCGGCATAGACGCGAGCACATGGGGATTCACATGCGCGCGTATCTCCTGATGCTGCACCGCATCCATCCATCCATTCATCCATCACTGGCGCAGGACATGCAGTCCTGATTATTCTGTTGGAGTCCATGCAGCTCAACTTTGCTGCATGTAATGTGTTTACACTGTATTCGTTACCGTTTCAGTCTGGAGCCTTGTGGGCATCAGATGGCTTTTGGACAACTCTGGTACATGTTACTACACCATCATGCGTCGTGCGCTCAGACCTCTTATTATAGCCACATGAAGACATTGTGCTAATATTAAAACGTGCATTCTGGAAACAAGCGGGGCGAAACAGGGAGGGAGCGACTAATCGACCCGACTGCAGTGAGTATAGCTGGGCAGCTGGAACAGAACATGCTGTCTGCATCAGATTAGAACCTGAATGATTTTTTTTTATTTTTTTTAAAAAACATATTTATTAGCATTGTTTTTTAATAGTTTTGTTGTTGATATTATTACTCGTAAAATTTTAAAGGGCTGTTTATGTGATGGTGTTGTTGAACATGTGAAAAGGAAATAAGGATCTAAACAAATAGACTAACTTTTAACTTTTAAATTCAGTAAGTTACCCTGAAAGTTCAAGATGCATCCCAAAATAATTACATCACCCCAGACCCAGGGCTATTCGGGCAGCAAGCAATAAATCTTGAATGATGGGAACATTGAGATCTGAAATAGTCTGCCCCTACTGGCAGATCCAATGTCACCAGGGATTTATTCATTGATGATTACATGACGTTGCCAGAGCGCCGGCGCAGTGGAGCGTTTTTAATTGTTAAAAGTTACTATATTTATTGTTATTAACTTGACACACTATACGTCATTTAAAATATATAAGACTCAAGTTTCAGTATTTGACCACTATTGTATTCTGAGAACTTATAGTGACAGTTATGTCTTAATTTGTGTCAGGAGTTGTGTAATAGGCTATATGCACAGCTGCACTACTTCCTGAACTTCAGCCAGCTCCTTGTTTCCTGCCTGCCATTATTGGCCAAACTTGATTAATTCAGGTGTGTCTGATTGCCTTGACTACTGAGGACAAGCACACATGAATTAATCAATTTGGCCAATAATGGCAGACAGGAAACAAGGGAGCTGGCTGAAGTTCAGGAAGTAGTGCAGCTGTGCATAAAGCCCATTAAGACGAAACCTACCGACCTCAGGACAGACAGAACGACCCTGCTTTAGCAACCATGAGAACATGTAAACATCAGGATCTGGAATTAAACTGTCTTAAAACAGGAAATAGGCTAAGTTTAATAACCAAATTCTGTAACAAAACCAGCCCAAAGCTCTATTAAAAATAGCCCAAAACCAGCATGACCCTATTCAAATATCAAAACTCAACATATGTGCCACACCCATAATACATATTTTACAGTCTTTGTTTTGTGTTATACATAACTTAAAAATCACTAGGCCTATTCTTATAAGAGCTTAAAAGGCCAATCTCTCACAAAAAAAAAAATATAGCAGTTATTGTATCATTGGTAGAATGTAAAGCATTTCCATACAATTACAGTTTATGTCAAAACTTTATATAGTGGGGGGAAAAAAATAAACCCGTGGCAACAGTTTACAAAAGCCCAGTTGGCACTTGGCATCCACTGGAAACCATTTGGTAATAGTTTTAATGGTTAAATGTGGTTTGTAATGGTATTTGTAGTTTTGTTAAAATCATTAGCACTTCTGTGATTGTTTCTATTGTTTGTTTTTAGCAGGGAAGTAGCCCACGATTGACACCCTGACCCTACAGCAAGACCTGAATTTAGAGCTTAACTTCTCATGAGGTTAATTTAATTAAACTTAATTTGAGTAAACTTAAATTATATGACAATAACAGTAATTTAATTGATTTTTTTTTATCTTTTCCGGTAGTATAAAAAGCAGGATAAATATAAACAATCAAAAATAAAAAAAATAAGCTGAAATATATTGAATTTGTGACAATGAATTTTGAGAAATGTTTAAAACATTTAAAACAAATACAAAAATTTGTTTTAAAACAAATACAAAGAAGTATTTGTATGAGCTGTTGCAATATTAAGCTTAAGCTTGGCATTTTTTGCGCTTTATAGATGCTGTGGTTATTCCAGTGAGTTTCAGTTTAATGATTTGGAATCAAGCTTGAAAACGCCGAGGTTCCCATAGCAAAAAATAAGCAGTATGATTGCAGAGAGCATTCAATGCCCATGCGTAGTAACTACGCTTCATAGATCAGCAACACGCCATACAGATAGAAATAGAAGCGCACAGTGCGCATGCGTGGCAGCGCTAAGTGCCTCAACAACACTACCGCTTCACACAGCAGTCTGCGAGGAGAGCGCGCTGGTAGCGCATACAAACCTTAACCAAGAACGGTTAGGGATAAAATATACATGACACCCGTGAGAAGAGTGAGTACTTATTTTATGTCTTTGTTATGTTTGAGCGTGTCTGGGGTGTAAATATGGCCACTCTAGCAGGTTAAATGGTTTATTTTAACGGCAAAAGGCGGTGCGATGGTTATCCGCGGCACAATAACCTTCTTTGTTCAGGTAGCTAACACGTTGAAGCGCCTTAAAAGCATCAATATTTTACACTCACATCATTAGAACACGCTGTTTACTCCTACACGAGCCATTAATATGCGGCATTAACGTTTGTATTTCACCATTAGCTGGTTTATTAATCTGTTCAATATTTGTTTTTAATGTGAATTGGTTTTTACTTGAATGCTGTCGCTATTTTGTTGTGTGTTTTATTATAACTTCAGTTTAATACTGTTTTTATATAAAGGAGTCTTCTTGATTTTATTAGGTTATTAATTCTGTTTTACAGTTTTTTTAATTGTAGTATTTCGTCTCTGAGCCGGTGTTCAGTTTTAGCTTTAGCATGTGGCAGTAAAATGGAGGACCGATAATGACCAATAAAAACACATCCTGATTGACTAAACTTTACTGAACCGCAATAAAAGCAAACCACTTCTGTGCAACACAGTATACGTTTTCCTTGTTGTATTTTGTTTCTAAAACCCTCACACCTCAACCACATCCTTATATCCACTTTAATGTTGAATTGTTAATATATGTAACGTTAGGTATTCTTGGAAAATCATAACATTTACTTTTTGAGTGTTAAATGTGTCGGTAAACACTGTCATAGAATGTCCTTAATGGAGTTTATGTGGTGGGTCCATAACAGAAACATGTTTAGAGGGATTATGAATATAATTTAAAACACACTTTCACTTCGTCATTGTTTAAATATGACTTCTATGTGTTGGTTTAATGTTAGAACAGGACTGAATCAGTATTTGTTGGCTCCCTTATTCAGTTAACAAAATGGTTGGCAGCCGGTAGGCCATAATTTCCCTCACACACTACTGCAACGTGGCTGAATCACCCCAACCTTTGTGTCTTCAGACACAGGCCGGGGCCCGTGTTAATCCATTACACGTGTGTTACAGATCACTGTGGTTACTGCAGTCTGGGGTGGAGAAATAGGAACCCATGACATCAGATACTGTAGACGCGTCAGAGATGGGGTTCATGAACAATCACACAAACAGGAAACTTTGCTCAAGACGAGGGCTGTCATTTTACCGGAGGAAATTCATTCAGAAAGTTCAGATCTGAATAAGCAGTGCTTTGTATTGTGTACTCATGGTCTTGGCGTTTTATTTTCAGACAAGCTTTTTAAATTCCCTTCCGTATCGTTCGATCTCAGAACATGGATCGGATAAATTCATTTTTCAATGTCTCCTCCATAGAAAAGGGAAATCCTATTTGCAAAGTGCTAATAAGGATTGTAATTGTAAACTGAAATATGGTAAATTGTTGCTAATTGGTGGTTTTTTTTCTCTCTGTTTTTCAGGGTATCCCAGTGTAAAATGGAGGATAGTTTTGATTGCGACTGCGGTGAGCTGGAGCCGCCTGATCATTGAGAAGGAAACGTCTCACTGAGATCACAACCCTTTTGCTTTCCACACATCAGGTGCTCAAAACAGGATAAGAAAAAAGTAGATTTAACACCATTTAGTTGGACCGCTAATAATGCTGCTACTCAGGGCCAGTCATACACTGAAAATTTCTGCACTGTGACGATGGTTTTATAGTTAGTGACTTTAATTATTTTGATTTCTTTCAAAGATATTTCATTGGCCTCCAAATTCATTCCATTGTACCCCATTAAACATAGAAATAAACAAAAATCTCCAGTAAACCTAGTAAAAAGCTGCTAAAAAGTGTTGTGTATGATGACAACATATCTTGGCAACATATCCAAATCAGTTCCCAGCATCTCCCAAAATACGCTGTTACAGTCGGTCGGGGAAAGCGCTCCAATCTTTGGGTGCTTGAGTGCTCGTCACGTGTTTTTAGGTTTGTCTTTCTCATCTAGCTCTAGTAGTTGCAAGTCAAGATCGGTGCATATCAGATAAATCAGAAATCTTTCCAGCTATAACATCTGCAAAGAGCTGCTTTTCTAGACAGCAAAATGGCAGAGAAATTTGAGAGCCTTATGAACATTCACGGCTTCGACCTGGGCCCTCGCTACATGGACCTGAAGCCGCTGGGCTACGGGGGAAACGGACTGGTCTTTTCCGCTGTCGACACCGATTGTGACAAGAGGGTCGCTGTGAAAAAGATAGTCTTGACCGACCCTCAGAGTGTCAAACATGCACTACGTGAAATCAAGATCATCCGCAGACTCGATCACGACAACATCGTGAAGGTGTTCGAAACCCTCGGGCCCAGTGGCAGGAGACTTGCGGAGGACGTGAGCTCTCTGACGGAAGTCAACTCCGTGTACATTGTACAGGAGTACATGGAAACCGACCTCTGTAAAGTACTGGAACAGGGCTTGTTGTCCGAGGACCATGCACGGCTGTTCATGTACCAACTGCTGCGAGGACTCAAATACATTCACTCGGCAAACGTGCTTCACCGTGACCTAAAGCCTGCCAACCTCTTCGTCAACACAGAGGACTTGGTACTGAAAATTGGGGACTTTGGACTTGCCCGCATCATGGACCCACACTATTCCCATAAGGTATTTAAAAAAAATTCACTTTCATGTTTATCTCTTTCAGTGTTTGGAGTCTGTTCCATCTCATTGAAACCCATCCAGATGGCGTCTTGTATGGCTTAGCTATGAATGAGCTTTAATTCCATTCACTGATTCGTTGTTTCACTGGAAGTAAATAGTAGTGCGACAGTCCTTGAAATGACACCAACTTCCTGTTTCTCTGAATCCCTTTCCAATACGTTAACTTCCACTGCAGTTTCCTCATATCTGGTTATTTGTGTCTTGTGTGTATTGAAAGGAACAGACAGGAACACTACAGAAATATTATGAAAGAATGATACAGCTGTACCTTTATGGAATCAGAGTGGAATGTCCAGTATTTCTTCACTTCCTGAATGTAGTTATGTAGGGGTAATTTCACTGATGTTGGAGGTTGTGGCTGGATTAAAGCATACACGTGTCTTCAATTTGTATTAATTTCTCCTCTATGGGCTCACATGATCATATGCCAGCCAGATCACCTCTCACACATGTACTCAGACAAGCCTCCTCCAAGGCCTTTTAGAGCGAGAGCTGTTCCTGCTTCAGCTATGAATAGCTGCTGTCACTCCCCCACACATACTCTGGTCTGGGTTTGTTCTACAGGGAACAAGAAAATTGAGAGACTATATCAGGCCCTGGTTCTGTAATTACTGATTCAGCTGCTCTATTAGCTTGAGCACTTTGTTTGAGAAATCAGATTCATTGACCATCTTTACGTGCATAGAAAAAAAGCATAAATCAAAGATTTGAGAATATAATAGGGCTGGGTATTGAGACAAATTTCACAATTCGATTTGATTTCGATTCACAAGCTTGCAATTCGATTCAAGTATCGATTATTTTGGATATCAGTTACAATAAATGTCAAATTTTCTCAAGGGAATCAAATCTCTTAAATGCTGTAAACTATGGGAGTCTAGTTGTAGCCTACTAGGCTTCATTAACCTAATATGAAGGTAATAATGAACTGTTTTGTACAAACACTTAAATCACACTTTTATTTATTTTTATAATAAGAAAATTATATGAAATATAAACATTTAAATGGTGGCTGTCATAAAAACTTGCCATATTTATTCAAATATGCATTAAATATTGAAGAACATTAAGATTATAATGCATATGTAATATGGTGTATATGTTTAGCAAAATGCTCCTCTGGAGTTATTTTTTTTTCTAGCTGACTAACGAGTTTATGTGGGTTTTCTGAGGTAAATATATATGACGATACATGACATTGATTACAAGCTGTTTAACTGACGTCTTTCCATGGTTGAAACGCTGACATGATACGGATTTAGATAAGTTGTACTCTATCTTTTAACACACTTTTCAGATGCTCATTCATGTTTATTTTGCGCTGTTGCTGGTATTATTAACCCAGAAGAGAGATCTGCGCTGCTGTTTTCTTGAGCTGCGCCAGAGCGATCTCACGCCACAGCGCCAAAACGTTATTGATGTTTTTGAATTTCTAAAGAAAATGGATGTAATTTGAAAATTGAGACTTTGTTTCATATCAATAGTAACAAAGGACAAAGATTATTGCAAATTTATTCATTTATTTTTTTTGGATGCGCGCAGCCGCAATACAATGTCCCATTCATTCAAATGAAACAGGATGACTAATCGATTCTTGAGATTTAAGAATCGATATCGGTTCGTAAAAATGAGAATCGATTAATATCAAGAAATCGATATTTATTACCCAGCCCTAGAATATATCACACCTGTCATAAAAACAAGTTTTTATTAGGGTCACTGTTTAAATATTTATATTTAAATCTTGAGTTTAATTTATGTAATAAATACATTTTTAAATAAAATTTTCAGTTTATGGCTAAAATAAACCTTTAATTTCAGTGTTGGTGTCTCAGTGAAAAAATGGTTTTGGTTCATCAGTAGTTGAAGAATTCTGCAGTAAGCGTATTATGAAAAACTTGATGCATCCATGTTCTTTTCTCACCGTTTTCTTGTCATTTGAGTTCATTTTTAGTACACTTGCACTGTAATTTAGCCAGCTCAATCATTTTAAATTCAAATGAGCCCAATGAATGAGTGTGAAAGTCTTGATGCTTTTACCCATCTGTGTATGATTTATGTCCCTTATTTTATAATCTTGTGAGGAATTTGTTTCCTCTTTGCTCCAGAAATGGTTATCTTGACTTTGATAGATGAACTTTTTAACAGTACCCGTTTCTTAAAGTGCTCAAATACTGTTTTTAAAACACACGCAGGTATAAGGAAAAACAGCAGATTCTGATTAAGGATTTGAAATGACAGAATTCCAATTAAAAGTGGCACATGTAATACATTTACATATCCCATACATTGTCTGAGTATAACCAAAATCTTATGTTCATTTGGATATTCATGGTTATGGTTAGATTCCCAGTAAAATGTCATATATTTTTTTTTTTTGTAGAAGAAGCCAGAAAAGATGTTGAGAAGCAAACTTTCTCACACATCTTTTGCTTGCATCCATTCTTCCTTTTGTCTTTCTCTCGATTTTTCTCTTTGCTGCATTGAGTATTGTTCAAGTGCTGTGCTCATCTCACTTTTGCTGACCTGTTTAAGCTGTTTTGTGCATTGATAGATGGAGAAAGAGAAGAGTGTGTGTGTGTTGCCTTTGCGAATTGACCCTTTGCAGTCAGCACTTCAGTTGTGGAGGTTTGTGGGAAGCACGGTCTCAACACTGGACGTGACCGTTGTGGATGCAAGTTGCACCGCAAAAGACTGAGTCTACACTGGACTTGACAAAGCGACCACTCCAAATTCATATGGCCTTGTCAGACAGCTAGTGCTTGGCGTACGTCAGAAAAAGAATTAGAATTGCGCTTCAGTTTATTGTTGTCGGCTATTTGTCGCTGCGCACCAGTTCCAGTCTAGACAGCATCACTGATTATAATGTGTTCTATTGTCTGGACACCTTTTTTGCAGCGTTCGCGTCTGCTGTATACACAGTGTCAGCCATTCCAGTCTCTAGTTTATGTTCTTTTTTTTAAATTTTTATTCTTACACGTGTCAATTGACCTGGACATCAAATGTTATGGGATGGTAGGGCAGAGGGAAGAGCACCACGATTAATCGTTAAAAGGTTGTGTTCTTGATTTGGACACCTATGCTATGTTGTTCCTAAATGACAATGATTCGGCTATGACTATTAAACCTTTGACAAGTACGATTACAGGTGAACATTCAAATCTGTGTTTGTGTAGCCACTGACCCCGATAGAGCAGTTGTCATGTTTAAGTATGAAATGACTTTACAACGTCTTTTCAGACACACACAGTATCCTTAGGCTATTTTTGTTTTGCAATATGAGAGTTTAAAAGTGATACAAATTAATAGTTTGGATTGGACAAACACTGATGTCTATGGTAGTGATCAAAGTAGAGTAAATCACCATTTGAAAGTAGCTTGATGCTTCAAACAAAGATTGTATCACATCAGTCATTGTCATTAAAGCAATGTAATGCAGGAGTTTTGTTGAATGCTGATTCGTCCAGTAATTAACCAAGTGAAGTATTTGAGTGAGTCATTGAATCATATATTCAAACAACTATTAAATGTTTTTAATAAAAAAAAAAGTAAGAATTTGTAAGAATCTCTCAACTAAATTGTGTTTTGTTGTCTTTTTAGAATCATGGAGGAATTGATCTCCTTTTTAATTTACTCAAAACTGTGCAGTTGTAGCAGGGGATGAAATTTAGTGAACCAAGTTTTTCTCTTCATCCAATGAAAGGGTCCTTTGGCATTAAAAAAAAAAACATACAAAGAAGTCAGTTTTGAAAATTGCCAGCATCCAACCTTCCATGTTTCTTTCCATGGAAATTGGGTCAGTTTTGAAAAGCTAACTAAGATTTTGCTGCAAGCTATAATTCAAACAGGCAGTTTAAGTTCTAAACATAAGCAAAGCTCTCTGGCTGTTTAAGTGCTAAATATAAGCAAAGCTCTTTGGCTAAAAAACAAAAACTGTTTCGAGCATGGCAGTACTAGCCAGAGCTGGAGAAAGTGTAATTAAGAAATGTTTGAAGGAGGTTTCTCAGACCTTTAAAGATGACTGGAAGCTCTGACTTGAACCCTCCCATTCAGAATGTTCTTTGTGTATGGAAGAAAGTAATGTGATGTGTTTGGATTATTATTGGCTGCATCAGAGGCAAATGATTTCTTAATTGGCACATAGCCCTATTTTCTCACTCTTTTGATAGTTCTTTGTTACGCTATCATGAGCTTTGTGCCAAACTAGGGATCGCTGATATGGATTTTAAAAAGTCCACTGGCGACACCGGCTGACGCTGAGTATCAAATAATTCTAGATATCGACAGATATTTTGGTTGACCACTATTCCAAACCATAGGCTGGACTACCTAAATGGGCAACTACCTTCAAAGGCTTCATCCTAACTAGAAGTTGAAGTTTTTCCCTCTTTTCAACCTTGCATTTAAATTGCTTATGAGTTAGCAGCAGTTCAAGGGCGAAATTTGTTTGATTGCTGGATTCATTATTCTTCTTAATGAAAAGCACAACAACAAAACAGTACTATGACAAACTCTCTTTTATTAAACATTACTTTTATTAACAAGCGAATAAGCGTACATCATGCTGATTTATCGTACAGGCCGAGTCTGAATATGGTTATCGTGTTTATATTGTTTCACGTTCCATGTTGAGAAAACAATATCCACATGTTTGAGTAGCCTAATTCCAAACTTTGCGAGGCAGATGACGACATTGTGATCAAATACAAACTTGTTAAAATGCTCCACAGTGCCACCCAGTGCATATAATTATAATTGCGAGTTAGTTCTTGGAATTTATCATGGATTCACTACGTTTACGGCCAGCAAAGCAACTTAGTAAAGTTCGAATAGTCTTTTATTTTTCGATTATTAATTGTAGATTGAATATTCGTGCACACCCCTAGTTTAAACCAGTATATCATCCAACACTAGTCTGGAGTCGGTCGTGCACTGTATATTCA